TGTCTAAAATGCAGATGGTTCGTTCAAGGCAAATCTCTTCTGACAAGAGCTTTTCATTATAGCATGTAAAAAAAGATCTTGGAAAAGACTAGCAGTCCTTTGCATTGGTGCATATATATTTTTTCATAAGACACTTGTCTATTATGCATTTTTCTCTGAGGTTATGGAAACAACCTGGGTTTCTATTTTACTTCCCTATTCACCTTGGACTGTTTTATCATCCCTACTAGCTACATTTGAGGGCATCTGGAAGCAGCAAAGACAGGGAGCAACTTCTCCTAAATTCAGTTCAGGAATTGAAAGGAATCTGAAAAATGCCACACATTTTGGGGAACAAAGCCTGAGTTTGGTTCAGGACAAGTTGGTACATCCCAACGACTCTGCTTAACCAACTTGCTCTGACTAAAGAAGCTGCTTGGATGAGGAGTTAATTTGAAACATCTCAAATTAACACAACGAAATCCAGTTGGCATCACTCAGTTTTCAGACAACTGCACCTGGATGACTGAGAATCTTCCTCAACACATTCAGAAAGGAATGTTCTTACAGATGTAATTCAGACAGGTTTTCAGCTTCTTGAGTTGGCATTTGTTATGATTTGATCTGTTTAGGGCTCAACAGGTGGCAGCACTTAGCCAACATTAACTTGAGCTCAAGAGTTAAACAGGATCAAGCTTGTCCCAAAGGTGTTTTTTCAAAAGGCAACTGGACTTGGTTTTTCCTTTTAAAACGTTTCGCTTCTCATCCATGAAGCTTCTTCAGTTTTGACTGAAGAACTGAAGAAGCTTCTTGGATGAGAAGTGAAACGTCTTCAAGGAAAAACAAAGTCCAATTGCCTTTTGAAAAAGCACCTTTGGGACAACCATGACCTGGGTGACTGAAAATCTCCATAGACCTGGTTAGTACTTGGATAGTACATGCCCAGAGAATTCTGAGGGCATGGTAAGCTAGACTGGGATGTCAGAAAACTCATCCAGATGAAAGAAATAGCAACCTACCATCATAATCTCCAGAATTTAAACTCAACTATAAAACATCTCCTTTATCTTTTATTATCTGTTTTATTCTTAATAATTTCCCTGTTGCTATTATTAAGCAGTACAAAGCATTCTTATGTTAAAAATAGTTTAAACAGAAGCGTGTTGCAGACAGTCTGGTTTGATAGGGGGAAAACTCTAGCAGCTCAAATTTCCCAGGACAGGACAAACAACACAGAAGGACCAGATTTTGTTTACTGTGCTTAAATTCCTAGAAGCTCTGGGCAAATCAAAGGTTATCACTTGATGCATAAAATGTCATAAAAGAGGACATCTTCTTTGATGTCCTCCTTGTGTTTTTGACCTAATCTATTTTGCAAGATTGTGGTGAATATATCAAATTAGGACAGGAAAGACTTTCATATCAGCTTTTTGTAGGAAAGGAACGATGATGATGAAGAATCTCTCAAATTGTTTTCATTTTCCCAACACTACGCAAATACAGTTCTTCCTATTATTAATAGATACAAAATTGAATATAAACATCCTCATCATATTTGGGAAGAAAGGAGGATCAGGGGAAAAAACACTGGATTGTGTGGTAGTGAAGAAGTTAATGTTAAACAGGTGAACCCAGACAACACGTTGTTTACTAAGCACTAAAGATTGTAATTGTTAAAAATCAATAAAAAAATTTTTTTTTTAAAAAAGAATCTCCAGCAGGCAAGTTCTCTTGGGCCAAATTCTTTGAAAACTCTGTGGTTTCTTTGAAAGAAACCATTTCTTTTCATTGCTTTGCTCTCGGCTTCCATTTTCTATCACTCGGTAAGTGAACTTCCAAAAGACAATTTCATAGCCCCAGTAAGATTTGGGTAGAGAACTAGCCAGACCCCCAAAGATGTCATTCCCCCCCCCGTAACTAACATGGGAATCATTTTTTTCTCAATGCTCACTCAGCAACCCTATCCTTTTGGTGTGTATTTAAGGTCTGGAAGGGATTCCTTTCCTGTTTTGTCAAGTTTCCAAGCTGTTTGTGGCTCCAATCTTGCATGTAGGTGTAATACAGCATCTGGGAACAGGCAGTTTGGCAAAGTTCCCTGACCCTGGGGTTCCCAGTCTTCATGTGATATGACTTCTTTGGAATTGCCTTGGAAAATGATAGCTTGAGAATGGCTGGCTCTAAGGAAAACCAGGTGAAAAGTTGGGTTTGGGGGTTTTCTATAGGCCCACCTCATTTTAAATAAGGGAAAGCAAAGCACAATATTTGTAAGCATCATTTCTCAAATCTGCTGCTTGAATTTGCAGGGATCCACTCTATCAGCCAGTGTGGTCAATATTGTGGCTACTGTGACATTTTTTCCTTTGGATTTTTAACCTGAACCTGCCAGGAAAGAATAATATGCCTTTTCATCAGAGTTAACCTGCCCAGCAGTTCATTTCCTTTCTCCCCCCCCTTTTTTTTGAACTAATAGCTACTCAAGAAAAATTGTCTGCATTAACAGAAATAACTAGGTCCAGTTTACTCTGTTTAATATATAGCTGTACAATAGGATAGGCTGTGCAGGTGAGGTGAGGCTGTTCAGATGAGCCTTTGGGTTTCATTGATTCTCCATGATCCAAGTTTTTTTTAAATTATAGTTTTATTAACTTTTATGGGAACAATAGCAATTGTAACTACAGAGCAGTTACAAGTTTCAGCCTAAATTATTCAAACTGTATGCATAAGAAAAAAGAAAGAAAATGACAGAAAGAAAAAAAAGCAGAAGGGGAAGATACTAAGAAGATAATTAGAAAAAAATACCTTTGTTTTACCAAAATGATCAATTTCATTTGTGCAGTATTTGCTTGCTCTATGGCAGGGGTCTTCAAACTTGGCCCTTTTATGACTTGTGGACTTCAACTCCCAGAATTCCTCAGCTAGCTTTGCCAAGTTTGAAGACCCCTACTCTGTGGCTTTCTGCATTATTGAAATGTCTTCTGTGGTTGGCCAACAAGAGCAAGAAGTATCTTCTAACCACATCGCTTTCTGATGACAAAAATATTTTATTGCAATTTTGATCTTGGGTAGAGAGTGAGAGGTGTTAGGACCCTTCCATTTCTTCTTTTTGCTTTGTTTCAAGGAGGTTACATTTTCCAGAGTTGTAATGAACAATTAAGCGACAGGATTCTAAGGTTCTTGACATTTCTGGCTCTCCCTCCTTCCTTGTGCAGTTATATATTATACAAATGTTCTTGTTCAGTGAATTATTTAGTAGATGTACTGTGTTTAGGCACATCAGTTCTTGAACTTCCTTGAAACCTGTATTAACTGACTTTATCCTTTTACTAATATTTTCCCAACATATTTGATATATCCTTAGCATTTCCTGCTCATTTATTTCTTTGTTTAAATGAACCACAATTAAACTAAAACTGATATTTTCTCTTACTTTCTCCTTTGTAAAGCTAGCCAATATAATTGTTCTGATTCAGTTGAGCTTTCTCACTTTCCTCTTTTGGCTCCTTTCCAAGTTATTTTTTTTTGGGGGGGGGGAATTCCTTTAAATATTTTAGACCCCAATTCCCAAGCCATATTTCTTGCAAATTCAAGGCACTCTCCCTCTCTTCTTCCAAATAACATACATTGTCCATCTGAATTTCTCTTAGTTGGAGAGACATATTTCTATACTTTGAATGTAGGAAAAATGTGAGGAAGCAATTGCTTGTCTACTTTTTTCCAAATAATAGGTGTGAATTATGAATATCGCCACAGTTTTTTTTTACTTTCCAGCTACATGAATGATGACTTTGTTTGTTACTCTAGTGCAGGGGTAGACAACCTTGGCTCTTTTATGACTCGTGGGCTTCAACTCCCAGAATTCCTGAGCCAGCATGGATGACTCAGGAATTCTGGGAGTTGAAGTCCACGAGTCATAAAAGAGCCAAGATTGTCTACCCCTGCTCTAGTGGGAAAGAGAAGCTAGTGTTACTAGGCTAAGCCAAAAGCTAACAGGGTTTAAGAGTGGGGATATCTTTCCCTGATATGTTCCACGTTAATTTCTTGCCACAGATTTCAGTTCACAAACTTTTTCTGCAATGTTTAGATTTCAGTAAAAGGCATTAATAAGATATGTGGCTGAAGGTGATTAGAAAGGTCATGGGTTTGCTTGTTTGTTTGGTATGAGGGTGCTTGTTAATAAAACAAAGCTAAAGATCTGAGCTTACTATGATGGGTGTGGACATCCCTTGCATGAAACTCTGTGCACTAAAGGAGGATATTTGTAGCTCAGGGCTGAAATGAGGGGTCCTTGGTGCTCTCTGAGCTTGGTTGTTTTCTTGCAGACGTTTCATTACCCAAACTAGGTAACATCATCAATGCTAGTAATGAAACATCTGCAAGAAAACAAGCAAGCTCAGAGAGCACCAAGGGCCCCTCATCTCTGTAAACTGTCAGGAAAGTGAAGTCCCTTGTTTATTAAATGTGTTTAATCATTTGGTTCCTCTAAGGCAGGGGTGTCAAAACTGCCAGCCCATGGGCCGATTGCATCATGCAGAGGCCGTGCCCACCCCAGCTCCAGCAATGCAAAAAAAATTGCCATACGTCACGACACGTCACGTGACGCGGCGAGTTTGACACCCGTGCTCTAAGGAGTCAGGATACCACTCATGGTTCTCTTCTTGCTAATGTAATCTTCCTAAGATGAACTGCACGGGATGGGTGGGGACCCTCTCCCATCCTTGTCTAACATTGCCTTTCTCAAACTGGACAAAGAAGGAACTGTTCACAAAGACTGACATTCTCCATTAAAGGATGTAGAGGTGGTGTGGTTATAAATGAAATCTCTACATCTCAGGTTCTGCAGGACTCCATATGCACACATATGGTTCTCTGATGCTCACTCAGTGCGTTTTTAATCTGCAGCCATGAATAATGCAATGGGATTGTGTGTTGGTTCTATGATTATATTTTTCTTTTCAAAGAGACTTGCTATGTTAAGGTGGGAATCTTTTATTTCTGTTACCATGACACCCTGTTGCTCATAGGTACAAATCAAACGAAGAGTATGTGTATGTGCGAGGCCGTGGACGAGGGAAGTATGTATGTGAGGAGTGTGGAATTCGCTGCAAGAAACCCAGCATGCTGAAGAAACACATTCGCACGCACACAGACGTCAGGCCCTATGTCTGCAAGTACTGTAACTTTGCTTTTAAAACCAAAGGTAAGCATCAGTCAGCTCTGAGCTCATCTTCCTAGTGCATTGGCTTGCTGGTTGACATTCCCTTGGGAACAATAGCAGATATGATGCTTAAAGTTCAGCTGGAGAAGACCTAAAACTTCAAACTGGCTGAAGTTGGCTGAAGCATGTCAAAGCAAAGCTATCATCTGCTGGATAATCAGATCACAGGGAAACCTTTGAATAGAGTATGCCTTTAGTTCAGGTAGTCCTCGACTTACAGGCCACAATTGAGCCCAATATTTCTGTTGTTAAGTGAGACAGTTAGCATTTTTTTCAAAACCCATTAAAATAGTCAATACAATATACAGGTGGTCCTCCACTTACGACCATAATTGACCCCAAAATATCTGTGGCGAAGTGAGCCCCATTTTATGACCTTTCTTGCCACAGTGAATCACCGCAATTGATAGGTTAGTAACAGGGTGGTTAAGTGAATCTGGCTTCTCCGTTGACTTTGTCCAAAGTTCACAAACAGTGATCACATGACCTCGGGACAAAGCAAAGGTCATAAGTATGAGTCATAAGTTGCCAAGCATTTGAATTTTGATCACATGATCCTGGGGATGCTGCAAAGGTTGTAACTTGTCAAGATAATAATGTAATAGCTAACCAGCTTATGTAATGAAAGATGTAAGATGTAATGGTGGGAATGACTCAGCAGGGTCTATGTCCCTTTAAGAGCCTTTGTATAAAGGGAAGGCTCTGCTGATGTGTTCACTCCTCTTCTTCTGTTTCCTACTGTAATTGTGGTTTGTTGGATCCTGCTGTATTAGCACGTGTATGTATATTGTTCCTGGTGTATGATATTGTAGATAGTGTAAGATAAACCACCATTTAATACAAACCATTGTTTACTGTGTTTACTCCTGGGTTATCTCGGCACAATAAGACTGTGCATGCTCTGACATAACTGGAAAACAGTCATAAGTCACAGTGCTGTTGTAACTTTGAATGGTCACTAAATGAACTGTTGAGGACTACCTATATAACATTTGAGCTCGGGGAGATCAGAACCAGTGGTTGCCAAGCTAGAGAAAGTCATTTTGACATAAATCTCCCTTGTTCCTTCACTGAAAGCATATTTGAACAATGAACATCTATACCATGCATTCGTTAATTGAACAGGCAACCAAATAATATCTTGTTACAGGGCAAAAGCCATGCAGACGCATCGTTCTGTAGATCCTATAGGCATTCAAGGGCACCTCCAGCCTTATGTGCTTGCAATCTCAAACTAACACATGCTATCCATTTTTATCCTTGACATACTCTTATTGGCAGTTTTGCATCAAAGAAACATACAGGTAGTCCTTGACTTACAACTTTTCATTTAGTGACCGTTCAAAGTTTTTCACAGCACTGAAAAAAGTGACTTACATTTTTCACGCTTATGGCCATTGCGGCATCCCCATGGTCACATGATCAAAATTTGGACACTCAGCAACAGGTTCATATTTATGATGGTTGAAGCGTCCCGGGGTCATGTGATCACCTTTTGCAACCTTCTGACAAGCAAAGTCAATGGGGAAGCCAGTGAGTAACCGTGTTACTAATTTAACAACTGCAGTGATTCACTTAACAACTGTGGCAAAAGAGTCATAAATGGGCAAAACTCACTTAACAACTGTCTTCACTTAGCAACTGAAATTTTGGGCCCAATTGTGGTCATAAGTCAAGGGCTATCTGTATTCTCCCAAAGGACTGTACTTCCAATCCAAATCTATGGGTTTCTCAGTTTGCCTGCCTCCCACATCTCTTTAAGCTTCTGGATCTGTTAGCTTTATTATTTCTCATTTTTGGTTTATTGATAGCTAAGAGATAGTTTTAATTCTTGAAATAAAGGTAACTATGAAAGCATGACTGAACTGCAGGCAGAAGGATTTATAAACCAAGAGAATATGAAATATGAGCAAGCTGCAGCTTTTTTTATTGCTGAATGTGATGGGAAGAGGGATGACTTAAAGTAAAATAAACAATTATTTTTAAGAACATAGTAGTATGGTTAAATTAGTATATCTGTTCAATACTCTTAAGAGCACAGTATTCCTTTATTTTCAGTGGAAATAGCTCTTTGCTGCATGAAGCAATTACTTTGAATCAGTTACAGGCATAAGGGAATTTAGCTACCAGTCATTGTGTTGTTGAAAAATTTGCAGAAAGTAATGTGTTCAGATTTGGACAAGTGGAACCTTAACTTAAACTGGTATGGATTTTTCTGCAAGTAATAGAGATGATGGTGGTGGCGCAGTGGTTTGAAGGCAGTACTGCCAGCTGCAGTACAACTTCTGCTGACTGCCGGCTGCCAGCAGTTCGATTCTCACCGGCTCAAGGTTGACTTAGCCTTCCATCCTTCCGAGCTCGGTAAAATGAGGAACCAGATTGTTGGGGGCCATATGTTGACTCTGTAAACTGCTTAGAGAGGGCTATAAAGCACTATATAAGTCTAAGTGTTATTGCTATTGCTATTCACAAAAATCATCAGTGTTGCATGGGCACTAAGTCTGGGCTTTGCCAAAAGTCTCTGTGGCCAATTAGCGTGTTCTAACCTTGACCAAGGTATAGAAACCTCTACCTAGGATATCAGAAACTGATATGAGAAATATGCATATTTTTGCTTAAGGAAAATCGGCTTACAATTGAAATGTAAATTCAAGGGTTCAGAATACTTCTCTTGGGTTATTCTCATTTCTAGTTCTAGGGGAATCAAAAGTCACTGTTGGGTCTTCTTACATGTAAAGTATTAGCTCTGTGTTTGAATTCACATAGTACATTAGTTTGAAAGGCGTCAGGTTGCAAAACTGGAAATAGCCAAGGCTTTGAAAAGAGATATTCAGTTGGCATACAATGCTTGCCCAGAAGGACCACATGAATGGCTATGGAAAAAGTATTTGGAACTCTTCTTTGATAACTTGGTGTAATTGAAATGTGGGATGAACATTTGTGAGGCAATGTAAGTTCTGTTCTAGAGTTCATTGACCACCATCTGAATTCTGAGATGTATATAGAGTTTGTTGTGCAGTTCAATGAAACATAGGCATGGGGAACTGGGCCTTCATTCACTTTTGTTTAGAAGTTTTTTTTCCTGAAGAAAATCAGAAAGAATTGAACTTCTTTTCCAAAGTAATTAGATGCTTGGAATTTGCTTCTCTATCCCTCCCCCCTCTCTACCTACCTACCTACCTACGATCTCCAATACCTTGCTCAGAGTCCCCTCAATTCCCAGCATCCATTCCCTTTGAATACCTTCTGCAACTCTTGGCAAGAATACAGATAGCATACAGGAGGAATAAAATATATTTTCTGATTCCATCTGTACTCTTTTTCTTTTTTGTACATTATACACCATTGTACACAACAATTGTGTGTCCAATATGGGGAAATAGATGGGGCATGCACAAAGTCAGTCTTCTTTTTCTCTCTCCAAATTTTAATCTGAGACAGAAAAAAAATCAACAGCTCTTAAAATGTTGCAAACCCTTCTTTGAAGGTATTCAGATAAGTTCCTGAATATCTACTGTGGCTTGTCTAGACAGAACAGAGTACAAGTATGCAGGAAAAATAGAACATGTACAGTAAAGATAATCACACCATTTTCAGGACCTTGGACAACTTCATAAAGAAAAACTATTGTCCCAGCAGAGAATACAGTATCTAAGAAGGCAGAGAACCTAGTCATTTATTTAATTCCTGGGTGATGATGGCAGCAATCTTTAAACAATTCAAGACAATTACTGTAGTTTTGTGCTGCTTGTGTAGCTGAAAAATAGTAGAAACCTTAGGGTTATAATGTAGTTCTCAGAATTTGAGGTGGTAGGGAGGACTGAACTTTCATATAAGGAGGGCATAGAGGAAAACTTTGATTTCTCTTGATTAGATGGAGATTTGCAACTCATCTATCCCCTGAATCTTTTTTGGGTTGAGTCTCAGTGCAAGGAACATCATAATGCTTGCATGATGAAAATATAAGTCCTCATCTCTGCATATAAACGATAGACTACATAACGAAAATCTATCAAAGCAGACATAGAACATTGTTTCTATTCTGGTTCCAACTTTGTCCATTTGTAAACATTATTATAATATAACTTTGGAGAAAGTGATACTTGGTGAAAAGATTGTCGACGGTTTTTCTGGGATTTTACCCTGAAGCTTAAACTAGCAAAATGTTCCTAGTATCCGTGGTATTATCAAAAGTTTTCAGGTGAAGATAAGAAATCTAAACATGGGACTTGGCATGTTCAACTGATGCTATATCAAGTCTCAGATACTTACGAAAATAAGATAGTTGGGCAATCAGGAAATAATTTGCAGTCAGATTTGTGTCCTCCAGAAATCTCAGATACTGGTCAAATATAATAGTGTAAACAATATTAGTCATTGAGTTACAAGGTAGAATAGCATTTATTCCTTCTGTAAAGAAAACCCAGCGTCTGGAGAGATCGGTTTGGTGGGAAGAATTATTTCCTCTCTGAGTTATCCCCCCCTTGCCAAGTTTTCTTGCTTATGCGTTTGTTTCCTAGAAAGAAACCAAGTTCTATTGCACAAACAAATCTGGGGTACTTTTCAGTGCACCGGACCTGGTTACCTTCGAGACCGCCTCCTGCCACAGATTACCCCCCACCGACCTGTACGCTCTCACAGAGTGGGTCTCCTCAGGGTACCGTCGGACAGGCAGTGCCGGCTGGCGACCCCAAGGGGGAGGGCCTTCTCTGTGGGAGCTCCCACCCTCTGGAACGAACTGCCCCCAGAGATCAGGGTGATCCCTGATCTCCCTTCCTTCCGCCGCGCCCTCAAGACGTGGTTGTTCCAGCTTGCGGGACTGGCCTAAGGGATTTTATAGGGGTTTTAATTACTTTTAATTGGACACTTTCAAATATTTCGTTTTAATTAAATTTTTAATTAGGTGTAATATGTATTTATGTTAGCTTTTTATCTAATCTGTCAGCCGCCCTGAGTCCGAAAGGAGAAGGGCGGGATATAAA